TGAACCTAGTTGCAAAATTCCTGAACAAAATACTAGCAAACAGCATCCAACAGCACATTAAAAGGATCATACACCAAGATCAAGTGGGGTTTATGCCAAGAATGGAAGGATTCTTCAATATACGCAAATCAATCAACGTGATGCACCATATTAACAAATCAAGGAGAAAAACCGTAAGATCCTCTCAATAGATGCAGAGAAAACTTTTGACAAAATTCAACACCCATTTATAATTTTAAAACCCTGCAGAAAGTCAGCATAGAGGGAGCTTTCCTCTACATAATAAAGGCCATATATGACAAACTCACAGCCAATATCGTCCTCAATGGTGAAAAACTGAAAGCATTTCCACTAAGATCAGGAACAAGACAAGGTTGCCCACTCTCACCACTTTTATTCAACATAGTTTTGCAAGTTCTAGTCACATCAATCAGAGAAGAAAAAGAAAGAAAAGGAATCCAAATTGGAAACGAAGAAGTAAAACTGTCACTGTTTGCAGATGCCATGATACTATACATAGAGAATCCTAAAGATGGTACTAGAAAACTACTAGAGCTAAACAATGAATTCGGTAAAGTAGCTGGATACAAAATTAATGCACAGAAATCTCTCACATTCGTATACACTAATGATGAAAAATCTGAAAGTAAAATTAAGAAAACACTGCCATTTACCATTGCAACAAAAAGAATAAAATATCTAGGAATAAAACTACTTAAGGAGACAAAAGACCTGTATGCAGAAAACTATAAGACACTGCTGAAAGAAATTAAAGATAATGCCAACAGATGGGGAGATATACCACGTTCTTGGATTGGAAGAATCAACATTGTGAAGATGACTCTACTACCCAAAGCAATCTACAAATTCAATGCAATCCCTATCAAACTACCACTGGCATTTTTCACAGAACTAGAAGAAAAGATTTCAAAATTTGGCCTTCCCTGGTGGCGCAGTGGTTGAGAGTCCGCCTGCCGATGCAGGGGACATGGGTTCATGCCCCAGTCTGGGAGAATCCCACATGCCGCAGAGTGACTGGGCCTGTGAGCCATGGCTGCTGGGCCTGTGCATCCGGAGCCTGTGCTCCACAATGGGAGAGGCCACAACAGTGAGAGGCCCATGTACTGCAAAAATATATATATATATATTTCACAATTTGTATGGAAACACAAAAGACCCCAAATAGCCAAAGCAATCTTGAGAACGAAAAATGGGGCTGGAGGAATCAGACTCCCTGACTTCAGACTATACTACAAAGCTACAGTAATCAAGACAGTATGGTACTGGCACAAGAACAGAAATATAGATCAATGGAACAGGATAGAAAGCCCAGAGATAAACTCACAAACATGTGGTCACCTTATCTTTGATAAAGGAGGCAAGAATATACAGTGGAGAAAAGACAGCCTCTTCAATAAGTGGTGCTGAGAAAACTGTACAGGTACAAGTAAAAGTATGAGATTAGATCACTCCCTAACACCATACACAAAAATAAACTCAAAATGTATTGAAGACCTAAATGTAAGGCCAGACACTATAAAACTCTTAGAGGAAAACCTAGGTGGCACATTCTATGACATAAATCACAGCAAGATCCTTTTTGACCCACCTCCTAGAGAAATGGAAATAAAAACAAAAATAAACAAATGGGACCTAATGAATCTTAAAAGCTTTTGCACAGTGAAGGAAACCATAAACAAGACCAAAAGACAACCCTCAGAATGGGAGAAAATATTTTCAAATGAAGCAACTGACAAAGGATTAAACTCATAAATTTATAAGCAACTCATGCAGCTCAATAACAAAAAAACAAACAAACCAATCCAAAAATAGGCAGGAGACCTAAATAGACATTTCTCCAAAGAAGATATACAGATTGCCAACAAAGACATGAAAGAATGCTCAATGTCATCAATCATTAGAGAAATGCAAATCAAAACTACAATGAGATATCATCTCACACCAGTCAGAATGGCCATCATCAAAAAATCTAGAAACAATAAATGCTGGAGAGGGTGTGGAGAAAAGGGAACCCTCTTGCACTGTTGGTGGGAATGTAAGTTGATACAGCCACTATGGAGAACAGTGTGGAGGTTTCTTTAAAAACTACAAATAGAACTACCATATGACCCAGCAATCCCACTACTGGTCATATACCCTGAGAAAACCATAATTCAAAATGAGTCATGTACCAAAATGTTCATTGCAGCTCTATTTACAATAGCCGGGATATGGAAGCAGCCTAAATGTCCATCAACAGATGAATTGATAAAGAAGATGTGGCACATATATACATTGGAATATTACTCAGCCATATAAAGTAACGAAATTGAGTTATTTGTGGTGAGGTGGATGGACCTAGAGTCTGTCTTACAGAGCGAAGTATGTCAGAAAGAGGAAAACAAATATCATATGCTAACACATATGTATGGAATCTAAGAAAAAGAAAAAGAGGTCATGAAGAACCTAGGGGTAAGACGGGAATAAAGACACAGACCTACTAAAGCATGGACTTTAGGATATGGGGAGGGGGAGGGGGAGGCTGTGATGAGGTGAGAGAGTGGCATGGACATATATACACTACCAAGCGTAAAGTGGATAGCTAGTGGGAAGCAGCCCTGTAGCACAGGGAGATCAGCTAGGTGGTTTGTGACCACCTAGAGGGGTGGGATAGGGAAGGTGGGAGGGAGGGAGAGGTAGGAGGGAAGATATATGAGAACATGTGTATATGTATAACTGATTCACTTTGTTATAAAGCAGAAACTAACACACTATTGTAAAGCAATTATACTCCAATAAAGATATTAAAATAAATAAATAAATAAGATGGGAATCTTCAGACCCTAAGCTGAGAATGAAATCAGTGGTTCATTTCCATTGCTGGAAACCAAAATCGATCTTTGAGCATACAAGGTGACTAAAGTACATACATTATCTTTTAGTAGGAGTCTTTATGTGTTATTGCTTAGGTAGAACCTGTGCAGGCAACTAAGGTTTGGATTTAACTCTATAGTAAAGATTTGATTGTTATGTTAAATAAATGCTTTAAAAATCCACATATACCAATCTCCTCTTAAATAGTAATATGTCAAAATAACTTTTTTCAATAGAAAATATATTGTTTGAGTCACTATCAAAGGGGGCCCTGTGGGCTACTGATGGTCTGCCAATCTATTTTTGGAGATACTAGTTCTTTAGAAAGAATCCATATATTATGTTTGAGAAAACCTACAATATAAATGTATAAGATTTCTCTTTTTTTCTGCTGTTATTTTATTTGGTATGATAAAAACAAACAAAAACCACCCTTTTAGACTTGTGACATTGAAGGAATCATTACCTTCTCTAGAATCAGTTTCTTCATCAGTAAAATTCAGGTAGCTTATGGGACTATTGTGATAAAGGAAATAAAGTATGTGAAATGTTTATAAAGTGCTATACTAGTGTAATGCTAGTGGATGGTATTTGCTCTCGAACAATAGTTGTGCTGGTAGACTCACTACCTCAGAAAGTATCTTGAGTGTTATATAAGGTCTGATTTCCTCACCTATAGGATAGTACCTGCTTTATAAGTTTATTGTCGAGAAAAAAGTGAGCTAATGCACATGAAAGAGTAACCATAGTGCCTGGCACATACAAGTCATAGGTATTAGTAATTTTATTCTTAGTATTATAATTTTTATATATATAAATATCATCTGCAGTTTTAAATTATGTGTGAGTCATCATTCTGTGAAAAATTTTTAATTCTTCCATGAAAACTTTAAAGATAGGGTGCTGTCGCTTGTGATAATTATTCTGATAAGATACAGTAGCTTTCTAATACTGCCCTGTATATGAATCTTAAGTTGATTGAATATTAACTTATGCAAGAAAGTTTTTGTGAGGATTAATTCAAACCATCAGGAGTAGTAAAAGCAATTCTAAGTTAACTAGAGGCTTATCAAGTTATATAAAGAGCAAGGTTTTAAGAGTATCTGAATTAATGTTATAGTGATGGCTGCCACAACCAGGGTAGGTCACTTTTGAAGGACGCATTGGTGCTGTAGCAGACAGTGAGGTATGTCAGAAAGGGCTGCTACCTTTCCCCTTGACAGGTAGAATCATGCTGGGCATCAACTAGAAGGTCCTGGGCCAACACTGCCCTTTGGTGTTTGACGTAGGGAGTGGCAACTTCTGGGGGGTAACAGTAGGGAATTATCAAGACCAAAACTCTGTCTTGAGGAACTTTCCCTTACCTTCTCCACTCAAACCTGTGGCTTCCTACTATTTACTTATTAAATCTAACTCATCCTGCTGAGCCCTAATGTATACAAATTCATTTCTCTCTCTTCTTGATAAGTTTGGCCCCTCCAATCTGATCTCTCTCCAGCTGTATATTCAGAAGCAGGCCTCTGACTCTGTACTAATGCAGATGTATGCTTCCTGGTCCAAAGTGTCAGATCCTTCAGGACAAGGACCATAATGAGAGTGTTCAGCATGGTTCTGGGCATGATACAAGCACTTAAGCATTCATAGAATGCATCTTTCCTTGTAAGTCTGTTGTTTACAAAATTCAATTTATACACGCAACTAATATATAATTTAGTCATTCTATGAAAAAATAATATAAATAAAATGAAAGAACAGTAACATAATTAGAAGTAGCCTTTTGAAAGAGAACAGAGTAATGTGTTTCTTCTGGATTGTAGAATGAAAAATTGTAACGTTCAGTCATGCTATTTGGAGTAAAATTTAAATTCTTATTTAGTCCTGTTGAGTGAATATTGCTACCCTCACAAATTCTTCCTGGGAGTCAGCTATACATAGTTAACAATGTGCTTATAATGATTTTCTCATTTTATGCAGCTTCCTCCAGCTTTGCACCACAATTTGAAAAGAAGGGTTATAGAGAGATTCAAGAAATCCCTCTTCAGCCAGCAGAGTAACCCTTGTAATTTGAAATCTGAAATTAAAAAGGTATAGTATTCTATATATAGGAATTCTTCTTTGACTAACAAAAAAACATCATGAGAATTAAATTTTATACCTCCTGTGCTTGTATCCTCTATTTAAAGCTCTGCCCTCTACTAAAGGATATTATCAATGTTTGTCTTAGTCCATTTGGGCTGTTATAGTAAAAATACCATAAAGTGTGGAGTTTATAAACAGCAAGAATTTATTGCTTATGGTTCAGGAAGCTGGCAGTTCAAGATCGGGGTACCAACATAGCCCCTAAATTGAGATTTGCAACTCTGAAAAAGTCAGTTAACCATCTGAGGCCATGATTTTTATCACCTATGAGGGTGGAATGAACAATTTCTAAGGTTCTTTTCATCTTCAACATTCTATGGTCTCCTAGACTTTGGGTACTGGTAAATAGTTCTATTCTTACATAAGGAAACTAAATCACAAAGAGATTAAATCAACCAGACAGAAAGAAAATTGTTTATTTCTGGTTAACACAACTTGGCAATAGGAAATCCGTTTGACCTGGTCAGTAGCCATTTTGAGGTGGTCACAGGCTCCCATTCTCCTGTCCCAGAAAGACACAAGACCCAAATAGCTTGGGCCCAGTTGTGTAAAGATGCTTGATCCCACTCCAATTTTGTGTATTTTTTAAAAACTTCAGCATATACTTAAACTTTGGCACAAGCATGCTGCCAATGAACTTTTTCTTTAAGGTTTCTTTTTCTTTTACTGTATCCAATCTGTAGTATAAATTAACTCATAATTTGGGCAATGTTGGAAGACAGAGGGAACCAAAAGTGCCCACTGAACTGAGAAGGTATCTTGAGACAGAAAATCGAGGCAGGCAGCTCCATGTAATCAATGGACCAGTTTATTACAGGATAAGTTACAGGGTGGGATCTGGATCAGGTGGACAGTGACCCAGAAGCATTCACAGCTGCACTCCACACCTCTGAGAGGGGACATTGGGACAGTTTTATAGTTAACCAAGGAGTTGGGGGGCTGCTCGGAAATAGGACGTGCCTTCCTAAGTCAAGTTTTATGAATGGGTAACTGTCTCGTGGGCGCTGGGAATACGTCAGCAAAGGTCTTCATCATTGTTTAGGAACTAACAGAGCATGGAGGCCACCTGGTCCTAATGATTATTAAACAATGTCTCTTAACTACAAAGCTCCTAATGACAGAGAAGTGATTTATTGTGTGGTACAGTCCTGGATAGGGTCAGCGGGAGGACAGGAGGAGCTGTATGGGCCCAAGGTAGCATCAGTTATGCTAACGGTCATATAGGTTCTTTGATAAGAAATGCAAACCGTATGTTTTTGCTTTTTTGCCTTACATCAGTGGTGTCTGCACATACACAAACAGGAGATGGGGAAAAAAACGCATAGCTGCAGGTAAACAAAACATAAACCCTACCTCATCTGAGATTAGAGATTTTATGGGTTGTCTTGGCAAATAAGGCCGAGAAACAAAGCTAGGGGAGATCAAAACAGAAGTGGAAGAGACTTCAGATATTTATTGTAGGATATTCACATATTGCATCATGAATACCAATAAATAGATTTTAAAGACAGAAGCTCAAGTCTCCCATGAAAACGTTACATATTGATAAGTTTTATATTCTTATTAAAATGATATTCAGAATAATCCAGTTTGTACACACATTTATTTTAACAGAAATCCTAGCTTTATGAGAGGAAGGAGCCTGCTGCAAACTGAGACGTGAAGGGGGCTGCGACCTGTCCCTGCTCCGTGTTTCCAGCAGTGCCTGTCCTTAGCGCAAATCATCATCTCTTTTGTGACTTAGGTTTTCAGTTTGGCCTCCTTCCTTGGTGTCTTTCTTTTCCTTCTTTTGTTTAGCTGTGCCACCCATTCCCAACCTTGTGTGCTTCCTCTGCTGTGGTGGCATCTCTCACAGAAGCATCTCATCTCTGTTCTTAGTCTGGGGCATATGGGGACCGAAGGGGCCATAGATTCATCCTCCTTTCAACTGGGTTAAGACGCAGATTAAATTATCCTATGAAGAATGCTATGGTCTCCTCATCTGATATTATAAGCCTGTGGTGGTTCATATGCTTATGAAGTGTACCCTATAATCAGGGGCAGGCCTCGCCTCCTATGAGCTAAAGAAATTGGAAGCCTGGGATATTAACCAGCTCCTCCATTAACACTTTTCTTAATTTTCCTTGTGCAGAATTAATCTCCCCCTCTATGCTTCAATCACTTTTTCACTCATATCTTTGTGTTTTAAATAGCTTTTTATTCAAAAGATATTTAGTTCACATGTCTGTTTACTTAAGGGTAGTGAGTTTATCTTGTTCATCTTTGATTCCCCAGAGTTGTACACCATGCCTGGTAGATGCTTAATGAATAATTGTTGAATATAGAATAAATTCTAGATTGATAGACATATTCTATATAACATATCCTATATTGGTTCTATTCTTTATTGATATATAAATATTGATAAATATATTTATATATTTCTCCATGAACAAAAAGAAGCCCTCCTGCTCCCAGTCTAAACCTAAATGAGAAAAGTTTGTGACCTGTTTTTCCCCCTTTCTGGTATAATTTTTAGTTAGTGACAATTTTTTTCAGAAATGGCTTTTTCATCCCCTGTACAATCATAGAGGAGTAGCCCGTTAGCCTTTGAATGACACGGTCACCCCACACTATGGCCGTGGAAGAAGTGGTGACAACATATAAAGTGCATGTGATTTCCACCCTCCCCTCTGAAGCTTCTCCTAAAATCTGGGGACTCCATGTCTGCAGTTTGAAGGAGTCATTATGGGATGATTGCAACTTACTTATAAGTGGCCTGAGGCACAGCAGGATGGACAGAAGGGTCAAAACATGGAAGAGCCCTTTTCCAAGAAGTGAGCCTTTTTATTTATGACTCACCTGAGGTGTCTTCAGTCCAGGCTGCTCAACCTTGGCTAGAATTGCAGGGTGAACAAAGCATCTTTGCAATTGTATAGGTGTCTTTGAGAACTAGGGTTTTCAGCATGGGAGAAAGAAGAAACAGAAACAAAGTAGAAAATACTAATTCAAATTAGAAGTATCAATATGAATCAGTACGAATTCATAATAGATCTTATCTTTAAAAAAGACACATATTTCCTAAATTTCACTAAAATGATATAGAAACGAAGCAAGCAGCAGTGAGCTCCCTTTGCACCCATGGCTTTGGAAGTATAGCCCATTACAGCTCTTGAGCAGGAACTGAACGAGACTAGGCTGGAATATCTTGACATAACAGAATACATGGCGAGGATGCTGTCAAGGACTACTGAGCGCGTGTCAAAAGGACTCAGGAGCCAACAAAGAGGCTCTCACAGACTATCTATTGGATAATTAAAGCGTCAATAAGAATAATAACCAAAATTGATTGAAAGCATTAACTAATGTTTAAATCTGAGAGTTCACAATAGTAAAAAAAGAAAGAGAAAAAATCTCTCATTGGTTACCCTTTGAAAGATTTCATTAGTTTGAAAATTGTTTACAAAAGGAAAGAATCAAACATTTATTCTGCCTTTCTCTTATGAATTCTATCTTAGGGTAACTAAACTGATGAGGGGGAAGTTTCTCATTAAAGAAGTACTTCAGCTAATAAGTACTGAAGGAATAAAAAATATTGTCATTTTGCAGCCCCTGAATGAAATAATGGATCTGACATGATCACTACTGGCTGCTGACATCACACAAAGAGGAACAAGCAGACAGTACATGCCTCCTGATGGATGTGCACAGCACATCTGTGAAATGTACATGCTAAACACTTGAATCTGCATCTGATCAGCCTCTAAGATTTAAGCATAAGAAAATAGTGAGTGTAAATATTTCTGTTAACAAAGTGACCTATAAAGTCTAATAAAAACTAATAGAAAGGAGCTGTAGGTTAGAAAAAATGAAAAATAAGGCAATATTTTATGTCTTAACATGTTATGTAATTCAGTCAAAGAGGGCAAGAACAATCTAAAGAAAAAAAAGATCAGAGGACTGATGAGTGAAGTGTGATAAAACATGTTGAAACATTTCTCATTTCTGACACCTAATTTCATTTATTTTGGCTTAATTTCCTTCAGAGTTCTATCTCAGTTGATTAGGTTCCAAATCATTTATGTAGTTGTTCTACAGCAAAAATAGCCTTATTTTATGATATGGAAAAGAAGATAAAATTGGGGGAATTTAATGAGGATTAAATTTGTAGTTTCTCCTACAAATTTTATTTTCTCTATTTAGTTTTTGCCTAAAAAGTACTATATACTCAATTGACAAATAAAGTGATAAAATTGTTCAATATTTGCTCAAAATTAGTGGTTTTTTGGGGAGAGAGGTAGTATATAGTGATATAATATTTTCTCTAATATTTACTTGACTTGTTTAGTTCAAGAGTGCATACAATTATTTGCTCCTTAGAACTGTAGATGTTTATTCAGAGCAGAAGAGCCCTTTTTTAAAAATTTATTTTTTATTGAAGTATAGTTGATTTACAATGTTTTGTTAGTTTCTGGTGTACAGCAAAGTGATTCATTTATACATATATATGTATAAAGAATATATATATATTCTTTTCTCATATTCTTTTCCATTATGGTTTATGATAGGATACTGAATACAGTCCTCTGTCCTCTAGAGTAGGATCTTGTTGTTCCTCCATTCTATATGTATAGAATGTTTGCATCTGCTAATTCCAGACTCCCAATCCATCCCTCCCCTCCCCTCTCCTCCTTGGCAACCACAAATCTGTTCTCTGTGTGTGTGAATCTGTTTGTGTCATATTTTTGATTCCACATGTAAGTGATATCATATGGATTTATCTTTCTGAATTAGTTCACTTAAATGAAAATCTCTAGGTCCATCCATGTTGCTTCAAATGGCATTATTTCATTCTTATTTTATAGCTGAATAGTATTCCATTGTATATATACACCACGTGTTCTTTATCCATTCATCTGTTGATGGACACTTAGGTTGCTTCCATGTCTTGGCTATTGTAA